AGTGGTTTAGGGGAGGTCCGACGAGGCAGCGCCAACCACCACCACGACCGAAATGCAGTTTTCGTTTGCATTGCATTTTGTCTGTTTTGCAGTTTTTGTATATTTGTTTTGCACCTGGTCTGGCTGGTCTGGTTGGTTTGGTTTGAGCTTCGTCTTGCAGCCTTAGCTCAGGATCCGGGCGAGAATGGTTTAGAGGAGATCCAGCGAGGCAGCGCCAATCACCACGACGACGACCGAAATGCATTTTTGTTTGGCATTGCATCTGTTTTTGCTTTGCAGCTTTTTTGCACCGCAGTTTTTGTTGCATTCGGCCTGGCTGGTCTGGTTGGTATGGTTGAAGCTTCGTATTGCAGCCCTAGCTTAGGGTCCGAAAGAGAGCGGTTTAGGGGGATCCGGCGAGGCAGCGCCAACCACCACGACGATGATCGACATGCAGTTTTTGTTTGCATTACAGTTTTTGTTGCTTTGCAGATTGTTTGCACTGCAGCTTTGCCGTTCTAGCTTCAGTTTTGGATTCCGCGTGCGAGGCGAGAGCGGTTGGGGGAGGTCCAGGGAGGGTCTGATGCCCACGGCGCCGACGACCATGCTCAGAATTACAGTGTGCGTGTGTGCGTGTGTGCGTGTTGCATTACATGTTTTCGCATTGCAGTTTTGTTGTATTGCAGCTTTGCCGTTGCAGCCTCAGCTTTGGATTCCGCGTGCGAGGCGAGAGCGGTTGGGGGAGGTCCAGGGAGGGTCTGATGCCCACGGCGCCGACGACCATGCTCAGAATTACAGTTGTTGTTTGCATTGCAGTCTTTTTGCGTTGCATTTTTTGTTGTCTTGCAGCTTTGCCGTTGCAGCCTCAGCTTTGGATTCCGCGTGCGAGGCGAGAGCAGTTTGGGGATGCCCAGGGAGGGTCTGAAGCCCGCGGCGCCAACGACCATGATCAGAATTACAGTTGTTGTTTGCACTGCAGTTGTTTTGCATGGCAGTTGTTTTTGCAATGCAGCTTTGCCGTTCTAGCTTCGGCCGTGTATTCCGCGTGCGAGGCGAGAGCGGTTTGGAGAAGTCCAGGGAGGGTCTGAAGCCCGCGGCGCCATCGACCATGATCAGAATTACAGTTGTTGTTTACACTGCTGTTTTTCAAAATTACAGCTTTGGATTCCGCGTGCGAGGCGAGAGCGGTTTGGGGAGGTCCAGGGAGGGTCTGGAGCCCACGGCGGCAACGATCATGATCATAATCACAGTGTGTGTGTTGCATTTTACTGTTTTGCATTGCAGTTTTCTGTTGCACTGCAGCTTTCCCGTTCTAGCAGAATGTGGCAGCACACTGCAGAAGGAGGTCGGATAGATTCCGCATGCTAACATTAGCCAGAACGGACGACGACGAAGGCGACGACGACAACTACGACGATGGCGATAACGAAGACGACGACGATATAGTTGACTATGGGTGCCTCTTGGAAGCTTCTGTGGGCCTTAAAATGAAGCCCTTCGGGTCCTCTTGGCGCGTTCTTGGGGCGCTCTTGGGCCTTCCTGGAGCGCCCTTGGGGCCGTCTTGGGGCCTTCTTGGGCACCTCTGGAGCCTCTCTTGGGCCATCCTCGAGCCATCTTCGAGGTCGTCGATGAAAGAAGGGAAGGTATTTCTCCCTGCCCCCACGTCAGGGCCCCCAGCATCGCTTCTTGGGCCCCTCTTGGCCCCGCTTGAGGCGCTCTTAGAGCCGTCTTGGCACATTTTTTCGGTCATCTTGGGGCCATCTTGAGCCCACTACAGCCCATCGGAAGCGAAAAGGCGAGAAAGCAAACATCACTGATTTGATTTAATCGCTTCGCTCATTCCGCCAGCCCGTATTGTGCCATCGCTGGCGTTTGGGCGTTTGGGCGCTTCTTTGGGGCCTCCTGGGGGCCTCTTGGGAGCCTTTGGGGGTTTTCTTAGGGCCTTCTGGGAACCTCTTGGAGACTCTTGGGGGTCTCTTGGGGGCTTCTCGGATCTCCTGGGTGCCTCTTGGGACCGAGGGCTCGAAATGTCCGTTCGGGTTCCCCGGCTGGGCCCCCTCTTGGAGCCGTCCTGGGGCCATCTTGGGCCGTCTTGGAGGCCTCTTTGGCCGTCTTGAGGCCCTCTTGGACCGTCTTGGAGCCCTCTTGGAGACCTCTTCTGCCGTTTTGGAGCGATATTTCGGGCCTCTTTGGCCGTCTTTCAGCGTCGGGAAGCCGAACAGGTCAGAACGCCACGATCTTTCAAAATGCAAAGGAAGTCGATGCAGTGTGCCTCCTGGGGCCCTCTTGAGAACTCTTCTTGGAGATCTCTTTGGGCGTCTTGGAGGCGTCTGCGGCCGTCTGGAGACGAAAATTACCTTGGGCGTCTTGGACCGATCGGTCGGCGACCCGGAGCCCTCTTGGACCCTGTTATGGGGCCTCTTGAGGCCGTCTTGGAGCGCTCTGGGGGTCCGGAAAACCGCCCCGGGGAGTTCTGGCATCCTTGGGCGGATCTTGCCGCGACCTTGCCGGGGTATTTCTCGTCCCGGGACTTTAAGGGCCGGCCCGCGCGCGCGAAGTAGAAATATCGGTTACCGGGCACTAGAGATTTTAGCACGCCTCTGGCCCGTTGGGCCGGCGACGTAAGATTTTAGAAGGTTTCGGCCTCTTGGAGGCCTCTCGGGGCGCTCTTGAGGCCATCTTGAGGTCATCTCGGGCCCCTCTTGGGCCTCTCTTGGGCCATCATGGAAGCCATCGACCAACAAAGAAGTAGGCGTTAATTTGGATCCCCCCGTCGGAACCCTCAAATCGCCTCTTGGAGCTCTCTTGGGACGCTCTGGGGCGGTCTTGGGCGCTATTAGGGCCGTCTTGGGCCTCTATTGGGCCCCTCTTGGGGATCCCTGGGTCCATCCCGAAGCCATCTCGAGGCTTCAGAAGCCCATCGGAAGCGAAAAGGCGAGAAGGCAAACAACAACATAGATTTCGATTAGGTGTTGGCCGATTGTTGGCCTTTCCAGGGCGTCCTTGGGAGGCCCTTTGGCCACTTAGAGCCGTCTTGGAGGGATAGTGAAGCCTCTTAGAGGTCTGTTTTCAGCTATTTCGATCTTCGAGGCCATCTTTTGCTCTTTGGGGCCTTCTTGGAGCCATCTTGGGCCATCTGGGACGCTCTGACCGCTCGCCAAAGACCCCGTCCAGGTCCAGGGGGACGGGGTACCGAAGAGGAAGGAGGGGGTTGGAAGAGGGGAGTATCGAAACCACTCAGGACCTAAAGGGCTGGTGGTATTTTAGCCTCCTCCTCTGGGACCGTCTAAATCGCCTCTTGGGGCCCTCTCGGGCCCCTCTTGGTCGCTTCTTGGAGGCCTCTTGGGGGTCTTGGGCATCTCTTCGCAGTCCCGGGAGCCTCTTAAAGCGTCTTGGCTGCCTCTGGGGGGGGGGGGGGGAGGCCTCTAGAGGGCCTCTTTGAGACGGCTAGGGAATCTTTGGAAGCCTCTTGGGGGTTTTCTTTGAGCTCCTCAGGCGCCTCTTGGGGCCTTCTTGAGAACCTAAGAGTCCCTCTTGGGACCATGAAAGAAAGAGAAAGAGAAACAAGTAGAGAGCCCAGAGGGTCAGCTGCCATATTCAGTTCTTCTGTCACAAAGCAACGTAAGGCGCCGGGGCATAAGGGCTTCTCGCTTCAAGCAGCATAGAATGTTCCAGCGTGGCCTGGCTTTGAGGAGTGCTTTGCACACAGTCGTGCCGTGTCATCAATCGGGGGCGGCCAAGAGGGGGTTGGTGACTAGGGGGGTTGCATTTCATGGCGTGGGCCATGACATTTTCTCAGATGTCATGGCACCTCTTCTTATTTCATTACGTCCCTGCCCCCCCCCTGAGCCGCGCACATGCCGCTGGCCATGATTTGCGCCCCCCCCCCCCCCTCTTGGACGCCTCCCTTTTGCCCGCCCCGAATCAAGAGAGTTGTGCTTGCCTGGCCCTGCGTTCCTTCGGCACCTTCCCGGAAGCTGGCCCAGTGTGTGAATCTCCCCTCGCGTGCACGGGACTGCACGCGCGCAGCACCCCCAACGTGCAACCAAGACAGTGGGCCAGCCGCTCCCTGATCCTCGCCTTGGCTTCGCCGCGTGCCCAAGCAGCGGATCGCCGAGGAATGCAGTGAAGCATGCGGCAAGCAGCTTCACGCGTGCTCCCCTCCTCCTCGTCGTCCTCCTCCTCCGCGTCGTCGTCCTCCTTCTCCTCCTCCTGCTCCTCCCTCCCTCCTCCTCCTCCTCCTCCTCCTCCTCCTCCTCCTCCCCTCCTCCTCCTCCTCTCCTCCTCCTCCTCCCCTCCTCCTCCTCCTCCTCCTCCGCCTCCCCCTCCTCCCCTCCTCCTCTCCCCTCCTCCTCCTCCTCCTCCTGTCGCCGCCTCTCGCCGTGCCCTGAGGCTCCCTCCGTGCCTCCTCGGCGGCGCGGGGCCGCGCAGGCGCTGATGACAAGAGCCGAGGGCCTCCCTCAGCTCGTCGCTCGCTCCTCTCCTCCTCCTCCTCCTCCTCCTCTTATCTCCTCCCCTCCTGCTCCTCCTCCTCCGCCTCCTCCCTCCTCCTCCTCCTCCTCCTCCTCCTCCTCCTCCTCCTCCTCCTCCCCCTCCTCCTCCTCCTCCTCCTCCTCCTCCTCCTCCTCCTCCTCCTCCTCCTCCTCCTCCTCCTCTTCCTCCTCCTCCTCCTCCTCCTCCTCCTCCCCCTCCTGCTCTTGTCCCTCTGCTGTACTCTGTGGGGGGGGGGCGAATGCCGGCAGGGTGCCACTGGCGAGCTGCCCGGCCGCCCGGTGCCACCGCGGGCGCCCGCCCCGCGGGGCGGCGCGAGGCTCGGCGGGCTGCGTGCGGCGAGCGGCGAGGCGCGCCACGGCGATCGCCGCGACGATCGCCGAGGCGCGCGCCGTCACCGCGGCCGCCTGCGGCGACGCCGTCGCCGCCGCAGCCGCCGCCATCGTTGCCGTCGTGGTCGTCGTCGCCGTCGTGGTCCTTGTCCTTGTCCTCGTCGTCGTCGTCGTCGCGGCCGATGGCTGGGTCCCGAGGTCATGATCGAGGACGTGCTGAGCGACATCCCGCTGCACGCGGTGGCGAGCAGCGGGTGGCCCGTGCTGCGGCTGATCTTTCACTTAACCGAGGCGCTGGGAGGAAGGAGAGGAGGAGGCGGAGGCGGAGGCGGCGGATGAGGAGTGTGCGATGATGAGAGGGTGATGATCATGTGGATGATGTTGATGATGGTAATGCTATGATGATGGCGATGACGACGATGGTGATGAGGAGCAGGACGGTGTTGTTGATGATGAGTACGACGAAGATGATGACGATGATGGTGGTGGGGATGTGATGATGGTGGTGGCAATGGTGATAGTGATGGTGGTGGTTATACGGATGGTGGTATTGACGAGGATGGTGATTGTGATGATAAGGAAGATGATGATAACGATGATGATAACGATGATGATGATGATGATGATGATGATGATGATGATGATGATGATGATGATGATGATGATGATGATGATGCTGATGATGCTGATGCTGATGATGATGATGGTGATGATGGTGGTGATGATATTGATCATGGTGGTGGGGGTGATACTGGTGAGGTTGAGGATGATGATGGTGATTGTGATGCTTATGCTGTTGATGATGGTGATGGTGGCGGCGATGGAGATGGTGATGGTGAGTGTGATGGTGAAGGTATTTCTGATGGTGGTGAAGGTGATGATGGTGAGGATGATGATGATGATGGTGGTGGTGGTGATGATGACGATGTTGTGATGAAGTGATGCGGATGATGATGATGCTGATGATGATGAGTGGTGGTGATGGTGAGGATGAGGATGAGGATGGTGCTGATGCTGATGATAAGGATGATGATGGTGTTGGTGATTCTAGTGGTGTGTACTGGTGATGACTGTGATGATGGTGAGGATGACGATGGTGGTGATGGTGATGATGTGCTGATGATGAAGTTGCTGCTGATGATGATGATGATGATGATGATGATGATGACGATGACGATGACGATGACGATCAAGATGATGCGCATGATGACGACGATCCTGATGGTGGTTCAGGTGGTAAGGTGACGAGAGGAGGAGGAGGAGGAGGAGGAGGAGGAGGAGGAGGAGGAGGAGGAGGAGGAGGAGGAGGAGGAGAAAGCAGAGGCGGGGGATGACTGACCGAGCTTCCAGGTCTGCGAGCGGGTGGACCGCCGTTAGACAGTCCGTCGGGGCTGAAGGATTTGTCTATGGGGAAGCACTCGTTGCTTGAAGGACAGCTCCAACTGGAAGCTTGCTTGTGAGGGATGATAGCGTGAGCAGGCCCTGTCTTGCATTCTCCCATTCATTCATGCTCTCTGTCTCCCGAACACAGGAGTGATGTCCCAGGGTGGGTCACAGCCCCTTCAGGGGGTGAGGAGCTGTCAGGGGGGTTCTTCAGCGACATCACCCTGGGCCATCCTGCAGTGTGTGCCTGGAGTTCGATGTTTGGTGAGGCCTCGGACAGCACTTGAAACCGTCTTGAGGCCGTCTCGAGGCCTCTTAGATGCGTGTCGGAGGTTATCTTGAGCCATCTACCGCTATATTGGGCCATCTTGGAGGCCGTCTTGCGCTCTCTGAGGCCCTCTTGGAGACATCTTGGGCCATCATGGACGCTGCTATGGGTCGGGGCCCCTCCCGTCCAAACGCATGGAGGGGGGGGAGGTACACCTCCCAAGCAGGGAAAGGAAGGAGGTTGGAAAAGGAAACGCCCTAGACCACCTGCGCCCAGAGGGCTGGTGGGATTTGCAAGACTTTCACGGATTGAAGGCGGTTCTTTTCCATAACGTGGTTCTCGCTGTGGCGCCGCGCACAATTCGTTTTCAAACGTTTCAAGAGTTTCACGGATGTTCATGATCAGCGTACCAGAAATGATATTGTTGGAAGGGTTCAGGATTATGCGAGTGCAACAGTTATGTTGATTCGCGGTGCTGCAGTCCCTAAAATCGCGCTTTGGCACGATTTCGGATCGTCAAGACGCAGCAGTCAGGTTGATACGTGGCATTGAAACCCCAAGAACAATGTTCAGGCATGTTTCAGGATCTTCAAACGGTTGTCTTCCAACGAGGCAGTTCCCTCAATGAAAATGAACCGTTGTGGGGGCCTACGAATAGGGAACTTCGAGGGAGGGTTAATCCCGACATCGTTGATGACTCCTGGTTTTACACTGGTCCTCCTCCTCCTCCTCGTCCTCCTCCTCCTCCTCCTCCTCCTCCTCCTCCTCCTCCTCCTCCTCCTCCCCTATTGTTGGCGATCTCTTCGCCCAAGCCTGCCTTCCAGTGAGGGGCCGGCCTCCCCCGCTCTCCCAGCGGGGTCTCCCCGACGCGCCTCGCCAGCAGCTGCTGTCCCTTCTCTGTGGCAGTGTCTGGGCGGCGGCGCAGGTGGTGCACCCCTGTGCGGTCCCAAGCGCCAACCACCAAGCCCTCCCATCCAGATGTCTCCAGGGGAACGAAGGATGACATAACTTTAAGCGTAAACTCGGAGGTCCGCGCGGACTTCTCGGATCGGCGCTCGGGCCCCCCTGGCGCTCCGCGCGCCAGGGAGGGCGGTCCATCGCCGATCCGAGAAGTCCGCGGTGACCTCCGCGTTGTTATGTTTATGCCATTCTTCGTTCCCCTAATCTCGTAGCCCCGAATGCAGCGCATGCCATCGCCCGACGACGACGACGACGACGACGACCCGCCTTCTCTCCCCCCCGTCCGTCCTCCCAGTCCTCCTCTCCCCCCCACTCCTGGTCCCTCGCTCCTGTCCCCGTGCTCCCTGCACAGTTGCGGTCAGGGGCTGCGGCTTAGCTTGTCGCTCCGCCGACTCTGGCCCAGCACGCCTCGGCGCGACACGCCATCCACGTCCCAGCTCCTGAGCGTCAACGTCCAGAGCATCTCCCCGCCCCGCGAGGCAGAGCGGCACGCTGTCCGCTTGCAGGGCACAGCGTGTCGCCAGGGCCGCCGCCGCGACACGCCAACCAGCAGTTCCTGACCGCACCCCACACGAGTGCGTGTGAGAATCCAGCCCAAGCAGGGCAGCTTCGCTTCCAAACACGTCTTTGTTGCTTGCAGATCTCAGGGCCTTCGGCCCATCCCTCCACCGTACTTCGATTGGGGGAAGCAGGCATCTAGGATGTTCGTTGGGATGTCGCGGGGAGCCTCTCCGGAGCATCTTGGGCCTAGTTTTGCAGCCTCTTGGAGGCTGGTTAGGGGCTCCTTGGGGCCTCCTTGGGCCTTCTCTGGGCCTCCTTGGGGCCTCCTGGGGGTCTCATAAGGCGGAAGACTCAGATTTTTGGTTCGCGTCCCCCCTCTTGGACCCTTCTTGGAGCTGCCTCTGGGCCCTCTTGGGCCGTCTTGGGTATGTCCGGGGCCGTTTGGGGGCCCTCCTGGGCCGTGCTGTGGCCCTCCTGGGGGCCTCTTTGGCCGTCTTGGGGCGATCCTGTGGGCTATTGGGTCGTCTTGGAGCGCTCGGGGGCGGAAAAGAGGGGGGTGCTGATTAGGAGGGGGGGATATCGTGGCGGGGGTCATGATGTTTCCCCAGACTTCATGGCGCCTCTTCTTATTTCGTTACGTCCCTGGCCCCCCCGCTTGGCCGCGCACATGCCGCCGGTCATGATTTGCACCCCCCCCTCTTGGACACCCCCCTTTTGGCCGCTCCCGAGAGCGCGGGGAGCTCGAAAGGTCGAGGACCCCGGAATCATTGAAAAGCGAATGGTGAATCAATGATTTGGACCTCTCGTGGCCCTCTTGGGAAGGCTCTTGGGACCCTCCTGGGGCGTCTCGGAGGCCTCTTGGGCTGTTTTGGGATCACCTTAGCGGTCCTAGTGCGATCTTGGGGCGTCTCGGGGCCCTCTTGGACCGTATTGGGGACCTCTCGGGACCCTCCTGGCCCGTCCTGGGGCCCTGTGGGGCCCGAAGAAGTCACGCGAGAAGATGCACTGGAGCCCGTGGGACCCACGGGAAGCCCCAGGAGATTCGAGAATGAAGGGTCTGGGCACGTAAAGACTCCTCAGAAGATGGATTGTCATCTGTTCGGAACGTTTCGGGTGCTTCCAAACGGTGCTCCCGCTGCAGTGTTGGCCTAAGTTTCGGATCGGAACTTTGCTCCCGTCGTTCAGAATGGCGGTCTCGCCCCAACTCGGACCACAATTCTGGATCCGAGTCCTTCCTCGTCGTTGCCGCGTCGCCCCCTTCCCCTCATCTGCATTCCCATGCTCCTCCTGCTCCTCCCGCTCCTCGTCCTCCTGCTCTTCTTGCCGCTGTTCCTCTTCGTCGCCCTCCTCCCTCACCCTCATCCGCTTCGTCCTGCTGACCCTCTCTCTCATCCGCCACCCCCTCCTCCAACGTACACAGCTCCCCCTTTTCCGAGTGCGCATAGTACGATGGGTGTCCTTTTGAGGGGGCCCAGGTCCGCCATGACACCCGTCGGCGGATCGAGATAACATCAGCACAATGAGAAGGAATGGGTGGGAGGGGTCGGATGTCAGATATGGCGCGAGCGCACCTAGCCTGTCGTTATCCCCCTTTGTCTCCTCCCTGTTCTTCCCATCCGTCTTCTTATCTGCTTCCTCCCCCCCGTCTCCTTTTCCTCTTTACTATCGTGGCCCTCCTCTCCTCTCTCCTCCCTTCTCCCTCCACCTCCCCATCCGCCCCCCATCCCCCCCCGCATCCTCCTTCTCTTCCTCATATTCCTCCTCCTCATGCTATCTGTCGTTTATTATTATTGGTATTAATATTGTGATTATTATTATTATTATTATCATTATTATTATTATTATTGATATTATTATTATTATTAATATTATTATTATTGTTATTACTCCTCCTCCTCCTCCTCCTCCTCCTCCTCCCCCTCCTCTCCTCGCAGCCGGCGCTTCGGCTCCAGCCAGCCCGGCCGACCCCCCGCAGAAGAGATGTTGTGCCGCACGGTGTCCCGTCTCGCGGCACGGCGCTCCCAGGCGCGCCTGGCGGAGGTCCGTGAGGGGGAGTCAGCAGACCAGACCAGGTGCAAGTCGGGCGTGTCCCTCTATAGGAGGAAGATTCAAGAGTGTCAAACAATAGTCTGGGGATGATGTTATTATGACTACGGCTGCGCATTTTCAAATAGTTATCACTCTGTTCTAATATCTATCATGATTCGCCCAACATCCGCCTGTAGGAGGACCTGCCCGACCTAAGACCAGGTGTCCAGACCTTCTCTGGCGTTCTCGGCGGCTCCCAAAAGGTTTCCCAGCCTCGGGGAGAAGCTGCCCCGCAGCCGCGCCTCGCACGGAAGCGCTCCGCGGGTTACCCGCGTCGTCCCGATCGTCCGCCCGAGGCCCGAGCCATGGCCCGAGACCCGAGTGACCCCTCGACAGTGAGACCTTTAGTGGTGCGCGGCCTCCTCTTCTTCCTCCTCCTCCTCCTACCCCATTTCCTCCTCCTCCTCCTCCTCCTCCTCCTCCTCCTCCTCCTCCTCCTCCTCCTCCTCCTCCTCCTCCTCCTCCTCCCCCCCCCCCCAAAGCCGCGAGCCGCTGCCGTCGTATCGCAGGCAGCGATCGGCCAGCCGCGCCACCCGGAGGCCCCTCCTGCCCAGGGTCGCCCCCGCGTGCGGCCGGGCCCCCGGAGTTCAGGCCAGGAGTTCGGGCCAGGGAGGGGCCTTGTCGGGGGCGGCTAAGAGGGGGGGTGACTCGGGGGTGGACAGACCTCCAACCCTGACACGTCGATTAGTGAATTGGCCGTTTTCGGGTCGCGAGGGGGCGTCGCGGCCATCATTTTTGCGGGTCCAGGTCCGTCGGTTTCGGTCCCAGGCCGTTTTCACTAAGGGGAGGTCTACTAAAGGGCGGTTTGTCCACCGCCGATTGTCGGGGGCGGCTAAGAGGGGGGTGACGACCAGGGGGGGGTGGATATCACTGCGGGGGCCCTGATATGTTGCCACCGATTTCGTGGCGCCTCGCCTTGTCTCACGACGTCCCTGGCCCCCCCTTGGGGCCGCACGTGCAGCCGGCCATGATTTGCACTCCCCCCTCTTGGACGGCCCCCTCTTGGCCGTCCCCCCGACCCTGCGGAGGCCTGGCGGTGCGCGCCGGTCGGCTTCGCTGTTCCCCGAGGTCGCGGCCGGGGTTCGCCCCTTCCCGCGCCCGCAGCAGGGACAGGAGAACGTGCCTCCCAAGGATAGGGTGGCAGCCACACGTGTGCCCTACCCCTGCTGCCCATCATCGGGTTGGACCAGTAGGGGTTCACTGGTGGGGTTTCGCTCTGCCAGGTTCGACCCGCGGCCTCTGCGTCCCCAGCTGATGCACACTCTGGCCCAAAATATATGGGAAGCAGGGGGGAGCTTCACGAGTGGCTGTTTGCAAGGATGGGCTCGACCCGACGAAGCAAAAGCAGGCTTTCGGCTACGGCGATGTTCTGCCCAAGGACGCCCCTGGGCTCGGCGACGCCATGGCCCACCCGCCCGACACTCCCGCGCAGACCGCGAAGTACATCTGGAAGGGTATGACGAACGTGCCGAAGAGGAAGGAGATCACAGGGTGATAGGAGGAGTATTCGGAGGATGAGGGGGAGAGGGCGGAGCAGCAGGAGAGAGACATGGAGGAAAGCGTGGGAGAGGCGCGGGGGAGCTGGAGGAGGGGAGGGGCTGGGGGGCGCGGAAGAAGGCCCAGTGTAAAGCCCAGATTGCCTTGACGATGTTGCAGTTCACCTTTCCGTCTCGAGTCCCTTTTTGTCGGCTGCGAGCGAGAGGGGGAATGAGGAGAAGGCCTTCTCAGAAGGCAGCTGGACTTCTCAGAATCCCTCGTGCCTTCTGAGAGGTTGTTATCTGTCTTCGGGGAATGCATAGAGAACTGCTCAGAAGGCCAGGGGGCTTCCGAAGCTTCTGTGAAGGCCGTCTCCATCTCACTTCTCCTCGCTCGCCGCCGATTCTTCGTCAGTTCCCACAAGCAGTCCTTAGCAGCTACGGCCAGTGCGCCATTGAAAGACGAGCGCCCCATTGGATTGCCATTCGGGCGAGAGCCTTGTTTTAGCAAGAGATCGGACGTACTGTCTGTGCAACAGAACCGCCGCGAGGCAGGATTATACAGTTCAAAGACTTTCCAGCTAGAGCCCCATCTTGAAGAGGAGCAGGTTTCTGTTGCGACTGCTATGTGTAATCCAAGGGGCACGGCCATGAAGTACAGGGATGCGACCGGCGAGAGGCTTGTTTCGAAAACGAGTCGCCCTCTATCCGTGCATCTGTTGCATTGGCTTGAGTTCTAGATCATGAACAGAGGAAGTCCGAAGCGACAACACAAGTTTGAGAAGAAACTGAATTCCACCCGTGTAACTGTTGTACACTCGTATATTTGTTGGGCTCATATGTCAAACGTATATCAAACGAGATGTACATACACATGGAACACATCGCCTTTGGCCAATGTAGCTGCGGGAAATGTATACGGGTCATGTGTGCGACGCTCAGGCAGAAGTAACTAGTATTCTCTTGAAGACGGCATGCCCTTATTTCTGGTAGCTCTTTCACAGGTTTCACTCTCGGGCCCTACATCCCCTGGAATTCGCAAGTGATGGCCCAACTTTGAAGAGAGGAACTGCCTTCTTTTTCGAGACATTTGGGAATCATTTAAGACGAATGTGCGCGTGATTGAGGCGACATCCGCATTTTGACATGACCCGCGCTCCACCCGTTTGACAGTTGGGATGACGAATGCACGCAGCGCTGAAGCGAGAGCGTCATTTTGTAGTCCATTTAACATTCCTCCTTGTGACGGTTTGGAAATTCTGTCCCTCCTGTGCGCTGCGCTAGGGCGAGGGCCGCATTTGAAAACACAAGTTGCCCGAACATGTTAAAACGACTTTGCTCGAAGTTAAGATGAGCAACGCTTTGAACACGGTTCTCGCTGCACCCGCACACGTGCTGGAAGTTCAGCAGACACATGTGCGGTATTCTAAAGTGATGTTCGCATCTTGGAAACGAAGCGCGCTCCAACCGCGCAGCTCTTGGCAACGCTTCACACGAATTTGCGTGGCTCTGAGACGAGCAAGTCTCAGAAGACGATTCGCCATCCATCCGCGCACGTGCCGGAAGATCTGAAGACGAATGTGCGCGGTGCTAACGCGAGAACCGCATGTTGAACATTTTGAAAACCACCCGCCCTCCAACTGTGCTCGAACAGCCTGACGACGCATCAGACGATTGGAGGAGGAGGATGGCAAGAAGCAGATCACCAGGGAGGAGGGATGGATGGATGGGGGGCAGGAGGAGGAGGAGGCTGAGGACGGAGACGCGCAGAAGGCGGAGATGAGAGGATCCGGGAGGGGAGAAGACGTGGGAGGAGAAAGACGAGCAGCAGATCTGAACTTGGAGGCGGAGGAGGAATGCGGGCAAGAGGAGGGGGGGGGTGGGCGAAGGAGAAGGAGAAGGAGGAGGAGGAGGAGGAGGAGGAGGAGAGCGGGGTGAGGAGGCGGGGGTGGGCGAGGGGGGCACGACAAGCACCCCGAAGAGAGGAGATCATCGAGGGCTTCGGGTACCCTGGGCAGAAGCACAGCGCCGGGGGCATCACGACCGTCGGTCGCATCTACTACGGCCCCGGCCGCTACGACTACGGGCGTCCGGTGATGCCCAAGGCCATGGAAGCAAGTCCGCTCTCGGGACGATGGGAACGGCGATGGCGACTATGATTATGATAGCGATGACGTTACCGATGGTGATGACGACAATGAGATGGTGATGACGATGATGTTGAGGATAAGGATGACGATGACGACGATACTGCTGGCGATTGCGATAACGACGATGGCGATTGCGGCCATGACGATGGTGCTGATGATGACGGGGAGTAGTGCAGATGTTTGTGTGTGAGTATGGGTGTCGATGACGACGGCTATGCAACTGCTGATGGCGATGACGATGACTATGACGATGTTCTTGAGTGTGTCAACGTCAGTGGTGTCGGTGGTGTCGGTGATGGTTATGTTGTGTCTGATGATGACGACGAGGACAGTGACGAGGATGATGATGATGCTGCTGCTGCTGATGATGATGTTGCTGCTGATGATGATTATGATGATCATGATGATGCTGATGATGATGATGAGGATGGTGATAACGATGGACATGGCGATGCGTGCACGATGATGGTGATGATCGTGGTGCTGATACTGAGGTGGCTGGGTGATGATGGTAATGTGGCTGCTGATGGTGAGGGGACGATGATGGGGATGCAGAACAGACATGGGGCGACAGGAACAGGAGAAGGAAGAGGTGGAGGCTGTGGTGCTGGACGAGGAGGAAGTTCAGGAGGGGTTAGAAATGAGTGGAGGATGCTGCCGTCGATGTTGCTATCGTCGTCCTCGTCCTTGCCCTCCACCTCCCCGTACTTCCACCATACTTTCCCCCGCCGACTCCCGTCTCCTTCCCACTCGGTCAATGGGTGAAGGGGCGGGGACGGGAGATTGAGGAGGAGGAGGAGGACGAGGAGGAGGAGGGGTAGGAGGGTAGGAGAAGGGAGCAGGAGGAGGAGGAGGAGGAGGAGGGGCCCGGAGGAGGATGAGGAGGGCGGGAAGCGGGAGGAGGAAGGTGGGAGGGAGGAGAAAGGTTGGGAGGAGGGCGGGAGAGAGTCATGGAGGCATCCCGTCAGGACCATGTGGTCGTTGCGTCTGCTCGGCGTGCTGTAGCTCGCAGCAGGTCCGTCAACATCGCCGAGCCCCGAAAACCCTGTGAAGGGCCGGCTCCTCGCAGGGGGCGCCAACCCCCGCGTCGGGCGGGCCTGCATCCGGGTATGGGGGATAGCCGCGGAGGGGGGGCGGGGAGGGGGACGACGACCTCCCTCCTCCTCTTCCTCCTCCTCCTCTTCATCCTCCTCCTTCTCATCCTCCTCCTCTTCCTTCTCGTCCTCCTCTTCCTCATCCACTCCTCCCTCCTCCTCCTCTTCCTCCTCCTCCTTCTGCTCCTCCTCATCCTCTTCCTCATCCACTCCTCCCTCCTCCTCCTCCTCCTCCTCCTCCACCATTCCTTTTCCTTGCAAAGAACTTCTCCCTTGTCGCGCGCCGGGGCCAGTTGTTTTTATGGCGGGCCAGGCGTTTCGCCCGAGATGTCCTCACAACCCATGGCCCTGAAATTCGAAAATTGGCAGCAGCTTCACGGGTGGAGGGCGGCGGTTCTCCACATGCGGTTCTCACCTTTTAGCGCCGCGCGCACTCGTGTTTTCAAATGTGCAGGAGCTTCACGGGTTGGGGGCGGCTCCTTTTCGAAGTGTGCCTCTCGCCCCAGCGCCGCGCACAGTCGTGTTTCAAACATTGGCAAGAGTTTCACGGAGTGAGGGCGGGCCGTTTTTTTAATGTGGTTCTCGCATTCGTGCCGCGTGCACTCGTTTTTTTCAATGGCAGGAGCTTCACGGATTGAGGGCGATTCTTTTTCAATGCGTGGTTCTTTCGTTAGCGCCGCGCACATTCTTTTCCAACGTTTACAAGAGTTTCACGGATTGAGGGCGGTTCGTTTTCAAAATGTGACTCTCGCAATAGCGCAGCGCACGTTCGTTTTGAGCATTTGCAAAAGTTTCACGGGTTGAGTGCGGTTCTTTGTCAAATGGTTGTTCTCGCTTTAGCGCCGCGCACAGTTTGTTTACACTCTTGCAAGAATGTCACGAATTCCCATGATCAGCGTACCAGAAATTGTGTTTTGGACGGACTCATGATTATGATGGTGCAACAGTTGCGTTGCTTCGCGGTGCTGAAGTTCCAGCAATGGCGTTCTGGCACGATTCGGGATCGTCAAGACGCAACAGTCAGGTTGATCCGTGGCGTCGGATTCCGGGAACAATGTTTTGGCATGCCCCAGGGTCTTCAAACGGTTGCCTTCCAACGAGGCAATTCCAGGGGCCTATGAAGAGGGGAGCTTGGAGCGAGCGTTTACTCCAACATCGTTAACGACTCGTGGGTTTACACTGGTCCTCCTCCTCCTCCTCCTCCTCCTCCTCCTCCTCCTCCTCCTCCTCCTCCTCCTCCCCCTCCTCATCCCCTCCCCCCCCTTGAGGGAGAGCGGGGAATCCAGAGTGAGGCCCCTTTGCAGCACCCTGTCTCTGGCCGCCTGGGCCCGCCACGATTGCGGTGATCCGCGGGCGTCGACGCCTTCCGCCGGCCCTACGGGGAGGGCAAGTGCAGGATCGCGACTGGCAGGCACCAGGCTCTTCTTCCAGCCTGGGCCCGCACTGCGCGCCAGTCCGCCAGGCCCCCCCCACGGAGGCAAGTCCATCGACCCCCCCGCCCCCATGGGGTCAGAGCGAATCACCGGATTTTCTCGTGCGCCTTGCCTCTTCCAGGCGATTCGCCTGGCAGCCTGAGGCGCACCGACCCTGCGCCGGCCCTGGCACCTCACCAGGCACCTGGAGGCGGAGTCCCCGTGCACCGCCTGCTAGGAGGTCGAGCACCGGCCACGTGCTGGCTCCCATCCTTCTAGGATCCCACAGGCCATTCGCGCTTGCCCTTCTTGCCCCGAATCCTGCCATCTCGCAAGCGAGTGGTAGGCCTCCACGTCGACGGACACACTCATGGCGTGCTCTCGCATCGCGTGCCCCGCGCTTGCCCATCGCGACGCAGCCCTCCTCGCTGGCCTTCCCGCGGCCGGGCGCGGTGACTGCGACGACGCAGACGCCCGCCCCGCAGCTCGTCGACCTCGTCGAGCATCTGCTCTCCCCGGCGACCTAGGCGCCTGCGGCCTCGGTGGCGTCCGCGACCTGCCAAGCCAGGCCGATGCCCCCCGACTCCACGCGAGGCCGCGGTGCCTGCTTATATTATATGAGCATGGTTTCTGTCATTAGAAGATGTTTGCGTTCTAAGAACACTTCGTGGTAGGCCTGTAGGAATGCCGGGACGGTCGGTCCCTTCTCAAGTGCCTGCCCATGATCTCCGCGCGGCCGCCGCTGCCGATGGCCGACTGCGCCGTGCCCAGCGCCTCCATCGGCGACCCGCAGGCCTCGCCTCGCAGCGCGCCCTGGGCAGCCTTCCTCGATGGGGAGGCGGCTGCCCCTCCCTCCTCCTCGGGGGAGGAGGAGGAGGGGGAGGGGGAGGCGGAGGAGGGATAGGAGGTGGAGGAGGGCGAGGAGGAGGAGGAGGAGGAGGAGGATTCTTGGGCACGCGCTGGAGTGACCCTTCGCTGGAGTGGCCTTGGGTGTGCGGCTGCTGGGAGTTCTCCTGCCTCGGGATGCGCTCCAGCAGCTGCGCCTCGCCGAGGGCGTGCCGGGGGTGCCCGAGCCGTGCCGATCGGCCGCCCCAGGACCCTCCTTCTCCTCCTCCTCCTCCTCCTCCTCCTCCTCCTCCTCCTCTCCTCCTCCTCCCTTCTCCCTCTCCTCCTCCTCCTCCTCCTCCTCCTCCTCCTCCTCCTCCCCTCCCTCCTCCTCCCCCTCCTCCCTCCTCCCTCCTCCTCCTCCTCCTCCTCCTCCTCCTCCTCCTCCTCCTCCTCCTCCTCCTCCTCCTCCTCCTCCTCCTCCTCCTCCTCCTCCCTCTCTTTCCTCCTCCTCCTCCTCCTCCTCCTCCTACTATTCCTCCTCTGTCGTCCTCCTCCTCCTCTTCCGCCTCCTCCTCTTCCTGCTCCTCCTCCTCCTCCTCCCCTCCCTCCCCCCCTCCTCCCTCCCTCCCTCCCCCCCTCCCTCTCGATCCTTGCCGGGTCGGGCAGGGCTGGGACGGCAGGGTCGGGCTGGGCCGGGCCGGGCCTCCCCTCTTCCCTCCCTCCCTCCCTCCCCCCTCCCCCCTCCCTCTCGATCCTTGCCGGGTCGGGCAGGGCTGGGACGGGCAGGGTCGGGCTGGGCCGGGCCGGGCCTCCCTCTTCCCTCCCTCCCACCCTCCCTCCCTCCCCCCCTCCCTCTCGATCCTTGCCGGATCGGGCAGGGCTGGGACGGGACGGGCCCGGGCCGGGTCGGACAGGGCCGGACTCTCTCTCTCTCTGCTTCCTCGTCCCCCGCCCAGTTGGAACATCCAGCTGTCCCCGCGATCTGCTTCCACACCTGCCCCCCAGAATGCCTCCGGCGTCCTCTTGCACTGAGGACTTCTGTCGGGCGGGATTGCCAAGACGGCCGCAGGGGAACGTTTGGGCATTCCTTCCCCCGCCCCCCCCGTCTCCACAGCCACCAGGCCCAAGGGAAGCGCTGCAATTCGAACTTCTTCACCGCTCCAGAGCGCACCTGCACCAGCGCCATGCAGCCAGTGGGGGAGCCAGCGCCCGTCCCTCACCTGCGAGTTCTCAACTACTTGATGCACCACCGAAGCGCCCTGCGCCTGACCCTGATTCTCAGCCCCATGCTGCATGTCCTGGGGAGCTGCAGCAATGGCGTGGCGAGAGCGGCATTCTGGGCAGCGCGCGGCTCCCCGCCTCCGCCGTCCAGGGAAGCAGCGGTCCGCGAGATCCTCTCGGTCCGCCCAGGGGAGGCCGGATTCGCGGAGGCAGCCACCCTCGCCAGAGACATTGACCTCGCTGTGTCGAGGTTCTGGGGCCCAGTGGCGGACTAAAAGCTCGCCTTTCCTCCGCTCGGCCCGTCCTCCTTGCCTGCGTCCCACCTCCTCTCCCTCCCTCCGGAGCCGGAGGGTCGGGCAGAGCCGGGCTGGGCACGCTGAGGTTCAGGTGGATTGGCCCCTCCCCCCTCCTCTCCCTGGGAATGGCTCCCCCCCCCTTCCTTCCGACGCCGCGCCACGCATCTGCGCCATGCACTGGCAGGGCCTCGGTCGGAAGGTCATGCAAGAGCTCCAATCGGAGAGGCCCTCCGGCTCTCCTCCGATTGGCCAATTCCCCCTCCACGGCCAGGCTTTTCTCCGACCCCCCACTTCCGAAAACGGGACGGTGCTGGGGAGGGCGGGGCCTGTAGCCCAGCTCCACCCACTCCTCCCCCTTCAGAATGCGGAGGCGGACTCAAGCTTGGTCGGCGTGGGGTCGCGCACGACGGCCCTCCCGGGCCCCAGGCGCCCCCCACGAAAAGGCGGCCACGCATGAGGCCTCCGACCGCCTCCTCTGGAGGACCAGTCCAGTCCAGTCCTCCCTCCTCCCTCCTCCTCCCTCCTCCTCCGCCTCCTCCTCCTCCTCCTCCTCCTCCCTCCTCTCTCCCTCCTCCCCTCCTCCCTCCTCACCCTCCTCCTCCTCCTCCCTCCTCCTCCTCCTCCCTCCTCCCTCCTCCCTCCTCCTCACTCCTCCTCCTCCTCCTCCTCCACCTCCCTCCTCCTCCTCCTCCTCCTCCTCCTCCCTCCTCCTCCTCCTCCTCCTCCTCCCTCCTCCCCTCCTCCTCCTCCTCCCCTCCTCCCTCCTCCCTCCTCCTCCCTCCTCCTCCTCCCTCCTCCCCCTCCTCCTCCTCCTCCCTCCTCCTCCCTCCTCCTCCCTCCTCCCTCCTCCCTCCTCCTCTCCTCCTCCTCCTCCTCCTCCTCCTCCCTCCTCCTCCTCCTACCTACTCCTACTCCTCCTCCTCCTCCTCCTCCTCCTCCCCTCCTCCTCCTCCCTCCTCCCTCCTCCTCCTCCGCCTCCTCCTCCTCCTCCTCCTCCTCCCGAGTCATGACTCGAAGGCCGGGGGGGGGGACCCTTCGCCAGAGTGACCTCTGGGGGGCGGCTCTCGGGGGGCGCTCGGGAGGCCGAGCTCGGGCTGCGCAGGCCGGTGCCGTGGCATCGCGTGCAGCGGCCGGCAGGCCGCGCACGCGAGGCCACTCTTGTTCAGCAGCACATCATGGGAGCCTTGCCTACTCCAGATTTCGTAAATAAAGGGAGGGGGGTCTCATTTCGTGGGGGGTCTCTTCCAGGCTATCTTGGAGGGCCTGGGGGGGTCTGGGGACGATGTGTTGGAGGGTTCTCCCACGGGGGGGGGTCTGAAATGGCTTGTCTTGGAGGGTCCAGACCCCCTCCCTTTTATTACGAGATCTGGAGTACCCTCGAATGTCCATCGTCAGAGTGCACTGGCGTCGGCTAGCGCTAGGTAGTCGATCAGCTAGCGCCGAGCAGCTGGCGTCGCTCAGCATCGGCTAGCGTCGGATATGTCAGCTTAGCGTCGAGTAGCGTCGACTCGCATGAGCTGACAAGATGGTCTGGCGACTCCCATGAGTTGCCGCAGAACTCTGACGTGCAGCCGCTCGAGGGCAGGCGCGTGCGGATTCACTTCTGCGCGTGCGCCGGTTGCCCCCCGTCGGCTTGGCCTGCGCGGTGACGGGGAGGAGGGAGAAGAGGGAGGAGGAGCAGGAGCAGGAGCAGGAGCAGGAGAGAGGAGGAGGAGGAGGAGGAGGAGGAGGAGGAGGAGGAGGAGGAGGAGGAGGGAGGAGCAGGAGCAGGAGGGAGGAGGAGGAGGAGGAGGAGGAGGAGGAGGAGGAGGAGGAGCAAGGGTGTTCACGGTTCGGCCGGTGCGGTTGCGTCGCAGTCGGTGGCGTTCGGTCGGTGCGGTTTTGTCGGTTATTGTTGCATTGCCACGTCGTTGCGCCCTTCTAGGCTGGTGTCGGCCTGTCGATTTCAGGAAGGAAGATGTGAAGCAGAAGGGGAAAAGGGAATGATAATGGGAATGTCTGAACGCAATGTGATGTCACAACCTTATGCAAGCCACCCCTGAACTTGCCCACTGCGAGGATGAACCCGAAGACGAAGCACAGGCAAAACAGGAGCTCGAGGAACCATGTAAGCCGATACCACGACTGAATACTTTGCCTGCAGCAGATCGAAACGCAACTTGATTGAGCCGAAGGTGACCCGATGCGGCCCGTGCAATGCTGAACCAGTGGTCACCGGACAACCCCAATACTGTTGAGCACCGCAACACAGTTCCGAAACAGGATCGTCACCCCCGCAGGCAGCCTCGCTGCCAATATCAGCTACAAGCTTCATTCCTCCATGCTTGACTCGAGTACCAGTGAATTCCGAAGAAACACAGAAACGCACTGGTGAATTACACAAAGGAAAATCCCACCAGTATACTATGAAAACGCCAGCGCTGAAACAAAAGGTACACCCCTATTGGGCAGCCAAAATGAAACCAGCGAAATGTCCGCAGAGATGCTGAAACCAGTGAGTGACAGCTGCAGCCCATTCCTCCAGAAGTAGTGAGCTGAAACGCAGGGTCGTTGCACAACCATGCTCCCCACATAGCCCCGAAATTGATTCTCATGATACCTCCGATGAGGCAGCCTTGTTATTGATGTGCAGAATGCCCCGTTGCTGTACCCACCTGGTGCTGAAGTATAGAGCTACCTCAAATCGTGGATCGCTCGACTGGGCCGCTACAGAGGCGACTGCTACTTGGCGACGTCGTACACATGACTAACGCGAAAATCTACATCACGGCCGTGTTGAGGTTGGCATGCGGCTGAAAAAAACACATGGTGCATCTCCGTTATCTGTCCAAAGCGGGGCACACTGCTACGCAGGAACTCCTCTATGTTCTACTTGACTCGGTGGTCCTTCGCGAACTCATGGAAGACAACGTACGTCCCAGTGAGCTCCACAGAAAACGCAAGCTGACAGGCTCACGCTCTGGAGCAACCGGTTCAGCTGGAATCTCCTTCGAGCGCACGTTAGCAAGGACATTGAGAGCGCATGCATGGGCTAACGACCCGTCCCATCTTGCCGTGAAAATGTCTTCCACCCATTGAGCGTCGCTGCAGTGCACAAGCTGATTATATTAAGTACATCGTCCCTGCCCACGAATTGAGCAGGATCAGTCGGGCCGCACGTACTGAACTTCGCAACAAAATCATATCCACCGTGAAGATTCAGGTTCGTGATTGCACGCTGTGGGACGCTACACAGGCACCTGTCCCATAAAGGCCACATTCGCAGCTGTGCCCTCCTAGGAAGGTCCGTACGGCGACTGGTGGAGATCGCCGTCGCATCAGGAAGCTGCCGAAGGATAGCCTGGATTGCCATGCAGTCGTACGTGAACCCCTTCTCAAAATCTGTCAGGCATATGCCCCGTGCATTTCTGAAGCAACGAGCCTAAGTATACGACGCCGATGGGCAGGTACACGACATGATCACCATTGCCGGAGTCTGAATCAAACTTACGTCCTCGTACAACTGGAACGCATCCCTGGCTTGCGTGCTCACTCCAAGCTGCCTCAGTCACGGCCCCGCGTGTCGCTCGAACATGGCAGTCTCAATGACCGAGGTCTCCAATGCACGTAGAACTTGGATAGGTGTTTCCAATGCAGCTCTAACTCCCAAGCGAGCACTGGAACCATTCAAATTGCCACCGAACATATGTATATATATATATATATATATATATATAGACGCACGGCGTCTTTCTTGTCTCCTAGAAAAGCTGAGCTCACTTCCAGTCCAGCCGCCCTGTCGTCTCCCAAGCGCCACGTGAAGGCGAGATGCGTGACTGCGAACAACCGAGTCCGAAAGGCGACGACAGCCCGAGCCACATGGTTTTGAGAGCAGCCTGAGAAGAGGGAGGAGGGAGGCAGAGAGGGAGGGAGGCAGGAGTCGAGGGAGCGCAAACATGGATTAAGCCAGCGTGGATGATCGAAGGGTCCCGTTTCTGTGCGCAACAGGCGGCAGTGGCCTTCTGTTTCGGGCGGTATTTTTCCCGATCCATGTTGGCGTGTGCCCGAGAGGAGGAGCCTGTGGAGGAGGGGCAGCAGAGCTAGGATCCACATGGCAGTGGGCATGGGCAGGAGGAAGAAGACGAGAATGAGGTGGAGCAGGATCACAAGGAGGAGGACGACGATGATGAGGAAGATGGGACGCCGCTCGTCCTCCTCCTCCTCTTCCGCTTCCCTTTTATCCTTGTTCTTCTTCTCCTACGTTGTTTAGCGACCACGCGCGCGTCCGGTCTGTAGCGAGGGCTGGTTCCAGAATTTCTTCTACGGGTTCTGGGAGTTCGGCCACCTCATGTTCGTGGTCGATCGTTGGACCCGAGGAGGAGGAGGAATACCATGATCAGGAGGAGGGGGAAGAGGAACACGTGATGGAGCGTCAGGAGGGCATGGTGGAGGCGGCAGAGGATGGTCGACGGATCATGGTGAGGGGGCGCATGAGGAGGATCAGTAGGAGGAGCATGCGCAGGATAATGATGGTACTGAGGAGGCGGAGGGCGAAGAACAGGCGAAGGATGAGGAGGGACAAGAAGAGGAATACTTCGATGAACGGGAGAAGGGAGAGGGCTATGCGGAGGACGACCCAGGGTGTGGAGCTGCAGCAGGACGTGAGGCACGATGAGGGGCACGGGGAGGAGGAGCAGGAGAAGGAGAAGGAGGACGAGGAGGAGGAGCAGGAGAAGGAGGAGGAGGAGGAGGAGCAGGAGAAGGAGGAGGAGGAGGAGGAGGTGGACGAGGATGAGTGACGTGCGGACGGGAACGAGGAGGAGGACGAGGAGGCGAGGGGGTAGGAAGAGGAGGACCAGGAGTTGGACGGGATGGGCGACGAGGACGATTGAGAGATTGAGCGAGGGGGAGGGGGGATCGGATGATGAGGATGGCGATGGTGATGGTGATGATGATGATGATGACGATGATGATGCTTATGATGATGGTTGATGATGATGATGATGATGATGATGATGATTATTATGATGGTGATGATGGTGATGCCGATAGTGGCGATGGTGATGGCGATGATGGTGATGCTGATGATGATGGTGATGCTGAAGGCGATGATGCTGATGGTGATGATGATGGCGATGATGCTCATGATGATGAGGATGATGTTGATGAGGATGATCGCCATGATGGTGATTATTTCGATGACGCTGGTTACGATGTTGATGATGACTATGATGAGTCTGATGATTATGAGGTGTATGATGATTACGATGATCATGGTGATTATGATAATGGTGATTATGATGGTGTTGTCGATGATGCGGATGATGAAAGTGTTGATGATACTGATGCTGATGATGCTCGTGACTAGTGATGTTGGTGATGCTGCTGATGATGATGATGGTGGTGATGGTACTGATGGATGCTGAGGGTGGTGATGATGATGACGATGACGATGCTTGTGCTGATGTTGATGCGGATGATGATGATGATGATGATGATGATGATGATGATGATGATGATGATGATGATGATGATGATGATGATGATGATGATGACGATGATGATGATGATGATGATGCTGATCGTGCTGCTTAGGCTGAAGCTGACGGTGGTGGTGATGCTGCGGATGATGGTGGTGTTGATGATGGTGGTGATGGTGATGATCATGGTGGTGGTGATGATGGTGAAGATGATGGTGGTGATTGGTATGATACTGGTGGCGGTGATGATGGTGATGGTGGTCGTGGTGGTGATCGTGGTCAGGATGAGGTTCGATTCAGCTGTCCACGAATGAAGGGTCAAGCATTTTTCGCCAGGTGAGCGCCGAGCCCATGTGGGCCCGCCAGTAGAGAAACCGCCCATACAGCGGGTTCATCTTCACCTCACGCACACGACGCCGAGGGGAAGGACATAGAAGCAAGAAGTTGGGTTACGGAGGCCACACGACATCCGCGAGACATTCGCAAGCCACGCATGAGGCTCCGGAGGCCATCAGCAAAACAAGCGGCAGACGCTCGCAAGACACGTGAGGCCCCAGAGGCCATCCACAGAGCAAGCGGCAGACGTTCGCCCTCGGTGAAGACGCGGCGTTGGAGAAGCCACCGGCCTGCGACCCCCGCGGGGAGGTGAGCCACGGCGAGACTGGGGCCTCTCCCGGGGAGGCGAGCGGCCTGCGGCCGGACCGAGTCAGAAGAGTGCCCCAGTGCTCTTCGCGTTTGTCGGATGCTCTTGTGCATCCTGGGGAGGGTACTCCAGATTTCGTAATATAAAGGGAGGGGGGGTCTCATTTCGGGGGGGGGGGGCCTCTTCCAGGCTATCTTGGAGGGCCTGGGGGGTCTGGGGACGACGTTTTGGAGGGTTCTCCCACGGGGGGGGTCTGAAACGGCTTGTCTTGGAGGGTCCAGACCCCCTCCCGTTTATTACGAAATCTGGAGTAGCCTTGGATGTTTTGATTGTTCGGGCCGACGGAGGGTTTCATGTTCTCCAGAGGTGCTCTTGTGGCCCAGGGCAGCGCCCCGAGGGCAGCGCCCCCCAAACCCTGAGGAAGGAGCCCCGGCTCCGCCGGTCCCTGTGGCCCGTCGCCCGTGGATGCACGCCCGGCCCACCTGGCGGCACCGACCACCCCGTCGGCCTCCAGCCGACGGGGGGTGGCCCCGGTTATCTCTGAGTCCTGGACGAGGCCCTGCTATCCAGGCAAGGGGGGCGGGGGGAAAAGAGGAGGAGGAGGAGGAGGAGGAGGAGCAGGAGCAGGAGGAGGAGAAGAGGGGGACGAGAACAGAGGGGACGGGCAGGAGGAGGATGAGGAGGATAGGGAGGAGGAAGAGCAGGAGGAGACGGAGGAGGAGGAGGAGGAGCATACGTGGGGAAGGAGGACGGTGAGGAGGAGGAGGAGGAGGAGGAGGAGGAGGAGGAGGTGGAGGGAGGAGGAGGAGGAGGAAGAAGAAGAGGAGGAGGAGGAGGAGGAAGGAGAGGAGGAGGAGGAGGAGGAGAGACCAGAGTTAGCGCAGAATGCGTTAGCGGTGCTGCAACGTACCCGCCTGTCCCGCGCCCCCCCTCTCCACAAGTCCCTGGAGTTCTTCCCTCTCACTGCCTGGAGCGCCCCACTGCACTGACCCCGGCTTGGGCGCAGGATCCTGCGGGATCTTGCAGGATTCCGCAACGCCTGTCTGACCCGGGTCTGGACTGACCCGGGTCAGCAGATCCCCGAGCCGCCCCGGCCGGCTGAGGTTGGCGGAAGCCCGCGGCAGCATCAGATGTGCATCCCCAAGGGGTGGCACGAGCCTGTGTTTCAGGGCCCCCGGAGGCGGCCACGTGCTCCCTCCTTGGGCGCGAAGCGATGGAGGGGCGACAGAAAGGGAGGGGGCGGCGGGTGCCCTTGTCGGGCCGTGAAGGCCCCCCCTGGGGCCCTGGAGGGCCGCATCGGGGGCCCTGGAGGGCCCCTTTTCTGCAGCCCTGGCTGCCCACTGGTCGCCGGAGCTGGCCATGTGCTCCATCCGCGTCGCTGTTGAACTTGGGGTGTTCGAGGTCCTGGGGGCAGGGCGGCGCGAGGGTGTCTTTCTCTGGGGCGAGAGCCGCACGGCCCGCCCCTCCAGCACACCTCTGGTGGTGCGGCGAGGGGGGGGGGCCCGGAGAAGGACAAGGGATGTAGAGGAGAGGGAGGCGGCGGTGATCATCAGCCACGCGCAGAGAGGGGTGAAAGAAGGGGGGAGGGCTTCTCAGAAGCACCCCTGCTTCTTAGACGGCGCGGCCCTTATCTATAGATGTATGGCCGGCGCCTTCTAAGAAGCAGCCTCCTTCTAAGAAGCCCTCCCCCTCCCTCCACCCCCTTGTGCGCACCGCCAAGATTCGGAGAGTGGAAGTATAGGAGGAGAGAGAAGGAGCAGTGATCTCTCCATTCGTCCCTTCTTCCCCTCTGCCCATCTGTTCAGTTTTGCCACTTAACTCTTGCCAAGCGTGAGCACGTTTGCGGTGATCCAGGGGTCACCTGGCCCGGCCCTGGGGGGGGGAGGGCTGCGTCGGACCGACACTCCAGCCAACAGGCAACAGGCAACAGTAGGAGGAGGTGGACGAACCAACGATGTTGCCATAAACCCTCCCTCCAAGATGTTGTTCTCATAGGTCTCTACAGATTTGTCGTCCGTGTGGGAAATGTCCCGTTATCAGATAACCGTCTGAGAGTCCTCAGTCGCGCCCACACACGATTCTTGTGGCACCAACCATACGGATCCTTGAAACTGTCGCAAGCTGTTAAAAGGAATGTGCGCGGCGCAGCGCTGAGGCGAGAGCCGCATGTTGAAATGGAGCACCCCTCCATCCTTGAAGCTGCTGTAAACGTTCTAAAACGAGTGTGCGCGGCGCCAGTGCGAGAGGCACATTTCGAATGCCACATGTCTTCATGCTTGAAGCTGCTGCACACTTTGAAGGCGAATGCTCGCGGCGCTAAGGCGAGAGCTTCATTTTGAAAGCCACCCGCCCGCCATCCGTGAAACTTGTGCACACGTCAAGCTTCAGGATCACAAAAGGTGAGGAACACAAGCGCGAAACGCCTGGCACGCCCTACCGTAATGTATGGGGGTGCGACAGGGAGGAATTGTTTATGATGAAGAGGGATGGTGGAGGAGGAGGAGGAGGAGGCAGAGTCCTGTCGATGTGCCCTCCCCTCAAAGGATCGCAATTCGCCAGCTTCGCCACTTCCTCGGCATCATGATCTGTTTCGTGCCCTTCTGGATCCAGATGCAATGGAACGTGCAGATGTGGGAGGAACCGGCCTGGGAAGGGCAGTACAGTGATGATGGGGAGGGGCAAGAAGATCAAGAGCACCATGAGCACGATGATGATCAGAGGAAGAAGAGAAGGATGAAGAGGAGACGGAGGTGGAAGACGATATGGATTATGCGGAGAAGTTGGAGGAGTTCCAAGCAAAGGAGGAGGAGAAGGAGAAGGAGGAGGAAGAAGAGGAGGAGGAGGAGAAGAAGGAGAAGGAAGGGGAGATTTAAGAGGGGATTGATTGGCAGGATGGGAAGGAGGAGGCGTTAGAGGGGAAGATGGGGGAGGATCAGGTTTTTCATCAATTCGGGGAAAATCGCCAGCGGCCCTCATCCGTCCTGCTTCCTCACTGATCCCTCCCATCTCCTCCTCCGTCTTCCGTGCATTCCTCCTACACCCATCCTCCCTTCCTTGCTCTACACGTTCAGAATCTGATTGCTACTTTTCCCCTTTCCTCTCTCTCTCTCTCTATCTGAATGCTGTCTTTATTGCGCCCGCCGATCCCGCCAACCGTTTTTAGCACAAGACCGCCCCGAGCTGGCTTTCGCGATTGTCTTGCCAAGCGGGATCATTCTTGCCCTTGCCAAAGAGGTGCTCCAGTTGCAGCGCTTGCCACGTTGGAGGATCTCCATAGAGCCACCTTCTTACAAATGTCAGTCAACCTTACGCCCAAGGGAACGACACTCTTGTCGCAGCGCTGGTCTTACTAGTCCATCAGCAGACGTGGTGTTTCCGTTGTTGCGTGCGCCACGTGCTACGACCGCCACAGAGTTCCCGCCCAAGGGAGGGGCGCCCTCGCCGCAGCGATGGCCGTCTCCTTGCGTAAACCAAAGTGGTGTTTCCGTTGCAGCGTGTGCCACATTGGTTGCTTTAGAGCTCCCATCCATCCACCATGGGGACGGCGGGGTGGCTCTTGCGTGCCGTGCTTTGCTGTGTTCAGCGGGTCCGAGGGAGCGATCAGACGCCAGATCTGGCGCAAGCGCATCTAGCTTGCCTCCGTCCTCCCTCCTCCCTCCTCTTCCTTCCTTCTCCCTTCTCATTCCATCTCCCCCAGCACTCCTTCAGCACTCCTTCCTCTGTCGTCCTCCCGTCTCGTTTTCATCCGCCCCCTCCTCCCCCCTCCCCCCCTCCCTTCCTTATCCATCCCTCGTCCCATCCCTTGTCATCATCCTCTCTCCTCCTGCCCCCCCCTCCTCTCCACCCTGCCCCTTTTCCTGCCGCTGCTCCTGCTGCTGCATCTCCTCCCCCTCCTCATCCATTTCCTCCCCCCTCCCCTCACTCCACGAGGTATCGGGAGGGGGACGCGAAGGAAGAGGAGGGGGAGGAGGGGGAAGGACCAGGAGAAGGATGAGGAGGCGGAGGAGGAGGAGGAAGGTAGCGGAGGAGGAGGAGGAGGTGGAGGAGGAGGAGTAGGAGGAGGTGGAGGGGGTGGGGAGGGGCAGGAGGACAGGGAGGAGGAGGGGCAGAATCAGCCCAGCATGCGTAGACGATGCTGCAGTACTCCCTCCCGTCCCAGGCAGACCCCTCACACGTTCTTGCAGGCCGTCCCTTTTTTATTCTACGAGGCGCAGCCCCGAATGACCAGCCCCCGCCGGGCCTGCCATTGAGGCGAGGGGTCCGTTTTGACAAGGGGCTACCTTGCACCCTTCTAGCGAGCACCACTCCTCATCCTGCTCCTCCTCCTGCTCCTCCTCCTCCTCCTCCTCCGCCCTCCTCCTCCTCCTCCTCCGCCCTCCTCCTCCTCCTCCTCCCTCCTCCTCCTCCTCCTCCTCCTCCTCCTCCTCCTCCTCCTCCTCCTCCTCCTCATGCGGCAGGGTAAGGGTAGGATCACATCACTCCACAAGGCGTCCAGCGAGATCCCCGTGCTGACACATTACGCCGACGGTGGGACCCCACACGATAATACAGTTCGACTGCCCCTCGCTCGTTCCTCCTCGCCCCGGCCGTAGCCCACCGTCTCGCCCTCTGCTGCGCCTCCTCATCATCCTCCTTGTCTTCCTCGTCCTCCGTCTCCTCCTCCTGCTCGCCCTCCTTGTTCAATGTTTCTTTTTTTATTCGTCCTTCTCCTCCTCTTTCTCCTCCTCCTCCTCCTCCACCTCCTTCTCCCCCCCTCATCTCTATCCCGCCTGCTCTCCTCATGCACCTCTCCTTCCTCCTGGCAGGGGGGCGCATTGCGGTTTTCCTCGGCGCCCTCGCCGCCGCGCCTGGCTGGAGCTCGTTCTCCGATCGTAAAATCGCGAAGCCGTCGAGGCAACGGCCACTGGGACAACCCCGCGAGCCGCTGGGGCACGAGAGCAAGCCGTTGGGACAACCCCACAGGCACCGAGTCAGTCGCGGCCGCGCGCAGAGGCAGCACGAAGTTCAGTTCAGCCGCGAGCTGCCCCGCCTCAGCCTTGGAGCCTTGATTCGGTCCAGAGGAACCGAACACGTGACGACAGTTACAGGGTCCCGGTGGCCAGGTCGGATTATGAACGTGATGTGCGGAACCTATAGGGAAGGGGCTCCCGCCTGAGATTTCTTCGCAATTCACTCACAGACGAAGCTCCCGCCTGAGACTCCCTCCATACTCAGTCGACAGGGACCGAAAGAACAACGGCGGTTACAAGGTCACGATGGCCCGCTCGGATTGCCAGCATGAAGTGCGGACCCCATAGGGAGGGGGTTCCTTCCTGAGACTTCCTCGCAATTCGCTCACAAACACAACTGGCTGAGACTTCCCTCGAATTCAATCCAGAGGAACCGACAAGTGGCGAGAGTTAGAGGATCCCGGTGACCTGCTCGGGCTCCCGATATGAAGTGCGGGCCCCATATGGAAGGGGCTCCCGCCCGAGACATCCTCTCAATTCGCACACCGACGAAGCTCTCGCCTGATACTTCCTCAATGTTCGAACGAGAGTAGCAGAAACAGCGACGACACCTACAGGGTTTTGGTTGCCCTTCGGGTTCGGGAAGGGGCTCCCGCCCCAGACTCTTCACAAGTCATTCGCACATGAAGCTCCCGCTCGAGACCTTCTCTATATTCAGGCTCCCGCCCGAGATTTATTCGCAAGCCAGTCACAGACGAAACTCCCGCCTGAGACTCCCACCGTACGTATTCAGTCGAAAGGAGCCGAACACGCGACGGTGGTTACAGGGTCCCGATGGCCCGCTCGGATTGCCAACATGAAGTGCGGACACCGTACGGAGGGGGCTCCCGCCTGCGATATCTTTGCGATTCACTCACAGGCGAGGCCCTTCGTGGTCGACGATGATGATGGTGGGATGTTGATGTTAATGACGATGGTGGTGTGCGCGGGTGATGTTGGCGACGTTGGTGTTGACGATCGATGATCATGTTGGGGCCATGGCGTGATGGTGAATGAGTGATGTGGGGGCGTGGGTGAGTGAGACAGTGCGTGGCAGACGATGGTTTGGGGTGTAGCGGTGTGACGGATGGTGAATGTGATGGTTGTGGTGGTGACGATGATACTGTTGAGGATGATGATGATGGTGTGTGAGTGTGCGAGGAAGAGAGGGAAGATGAGGACGGGAAAAGACTGCGCGGGGTACCCCGAGAAAGCAAGAACCCCGGTTTGGATGTGGGGAAATACCGATCTCGAGATGTGGACATGCTGCACCATGTGCCATCTGGTCGCGGCCTTCGAAACGGCTTCAAACGAGAGCCCCCCTTCAAAACGCGGCCGACCTCCATCCTTGCATTTGGTACGCCTGCTAAAGTTTCGTGTTTCCCAACCATCCTGTGGTGTTGGGTCCTCGTTTTGAAGAGACGGTGGTCCGCGTCTCCTCCTCCTCCTCCTCTCCTCTCCTTTCCTCTCCTCCTCCTCTCCCTCCGCACACCCCTCACACGCTTCGTGGCCCCATAGGGAGCTCCACCGAAGGCCCCATGGCTGCCGTCCGCATGCGTCCCGCACACCCATTTCGGCACACCCCTCACACGTTTCGTGGCCCCATAGGGAGCTCCACCGAAGGCCCCAGTGGCTGCCGTCCGCATGCGTCCCGCACACCCATTTCGGCACACCCTCACACGTTTCGTGGCCCCATAGGGAGCTCCACCGAAGGCCCCATGGCTGCCGTCCGCATGCGTCCCGCACACCCATTTCGGCACACCCCTCACACTTTCGTGGCCCCACAGGGAGCTCCACCGAAGGCCCCATGGCTGCCGTCCGCATGCGTCCCGCACACCCATTTCGGCACACCCCTCACACGTTTCGTGGCCCCACAGGGAGCTCCACCGAAGGCCCCAGTGCTGCCGTCCGCATGCGTCCCGCACACCCATTTCGGCACACCCCTCACACGTTTCGTGGCCCCATAGGGAGCTCCACCGAAGGCCCCATGGCTGCCGTCCGCATGCGTCCCGCACACCCATTTCGGCACACCCCTCACACGTTTCGTGGCCCCACAGGGAGCTCCACCGAAGGCCCCAGTGCTGCCGTCCGCATGCGTCCCGCACACCCATTTCGGCACACCCCTCACACGTTTCGTGGCCCCACAGGGAGCTCCACCGAAGGCCCCAGGCTGCCGTCCGCATGCGTCCCGCACACCCATTTCGGCACACCCCTCACACGTTTCGTGGCCCCACAGGGAGCTCCACCGAAGGCCCCAGTGCTGCCGTCCGCATGCGTCCCGCACACCCATTTCGGCACACCCCTCACACGTTTCGTGGCCCCATAGGGAGCTCCACCGAAGGCCCCATGGCTGCCGTCCGCATGCGTCCCGCACACCCATTTCGGCACACCCCTCACATTTCGGCACAGGGCACACGTTTCGTGGCCCCACAGGGAGCTCCACCGAAGGCCCCAGTGCTGCCGTCCGCATGCGTCCCGCACACCCATTTCGGCACACCCCTCACACGTTTCGTGGCCCCATAGGGAGCTCCACCGAAGAAGATATTCACAATTGCGGTACTCTCAACTGCATATGGTTGGGTCCTTCGCCAGGCTAATTTTCCGAACCAGGAAGGTTCAAACGAGAGCCCCATAATGAACATCAGCCGCCCATATTTTTTGTAGTCGTTGCAGGCTTTGGGGTTAATGTGTGGGACGCTAAGGCGAGAGTCCACGCCCACCCCATTTATAGTTGCATCAAGGCGAATACGCGCGCCACGAAGGCAAGCTGTAACTTTACAACTTTTGGCATCTGCTTACACGTTCGGGTTTAAAGCGGATGTGCACGGTGCTAGGGCGAGGGACTTCGGAGGAACGGGCCCCATCCATTCTTGCAGGTGTCGCAATCGTTTTAAGACGAAGATGCTCGGCACATGTGCGATAGTCATGTTGTGCCCCGTGCATCAAAGCACTAGAAACAAGCAGCACCCCGAACTACCACACCGAACCAACAGTTTGAAACCAAATACAAAACTGCCACATACAAAAAACACTGCCTCTTTTTTCTTTGCAGGTGTTGTGAATCACATGATCCACGATCTCTGGTGGTGCGGGTGTCCGAGGCGGAACGCTCGGCCCGCCCTGCCGACATGTTGGGGTGTGACAGGGAGGAGCAATCCATAAGAAGCAGCGGAAGGGAGGATGAGGAGGAGGAAAAGGAGGAAGAGGAGGAAAAGGAGGAAGAACAGGAGGAGGAGGAGGCTGAAAAGGAGGAGGAGGCCGACGACGAAGAGGAGGAGGAGGAGGAGGAGGAGAAGAACCTGGTTCTGGCAGAACTTGGGCAAGGGGGCTCTGAAGTAGTTCCGGATAAGTCGAGACCCATCCAGTCAGACAAAGGAACGTGGGGGCCCCGTTCCCAGTCCATCAGTCGCAGAGGAAGGGGAGAGGAGCAAGAGTTGGGAGAGGAGGAGGAGAATACATATCATGTTCTGGCGCCAGAGGACATGGAGGAGGAGGAGGAGAAGGAGGAGGAGGAGGAGGAGGAGAGGAGATGGAGGAGGTGGACGGAGGAGGAGGAGGAGGAGGAGGAGGAGGAGGAGGAGAGGAGGAGGAGGAGAGGGGGGGGAGGAGGAGGAGGAGGACGACGAGAAGGAGGAGGAGGGAGGACGAGAAGGAGGAGGCGACCCCCCCCTCCACGAAGATGGGGCAGGTAGGGGGCGGGAACGGAGTGCAGAGAGGGAAGGGGGAGGCGGAGAGGAGAGGGAGGAGGGAAGGAGGGAGCAGGAAGAGGGGGGGGGGTAGGAGTAGCAACATCGAGGGGAAAGGAGGAGGAGGAGGACGAGGAGCACGAGGGGGAAGTAGAAGAAAGAGTACGAGGATGAGGATGATGGCCCCTTCTGAGCGCAGGACTTCAAGAAGACGCACGCGAACTGAGGCGAGCGACGCGCGCGGCAGGCCTCTGGCGCGGCCGCCGGCGCGCCACCGTGCCCTGCGGTCTGCTGCTGCTGCTGCAGCTTCCCCTGCTGGTCGTCCTGCAGTCTTCGAGAATTTCAGGACGGAGGGTGCAGTCCGGGCGCCGGAGGGAGGACCAGGGCGCGTCGGGCTCAGAGCGCTTCGGGCTCAGTCAGGGTGCAGTCGGGGCGCAGTCAGGGCGCTTCGGGCTCGGGAGGAGCCCTGGCTGTTGGGCCGTGCCGCAGCTCTGGGCCGGGGGACCTGTGCTCGTGGCCGAGGCCCTCCGTGGCCGGACCTGCCCGCTCGATTCTGGATTCGGCGCTCCTCCTCCCCCTCCTCCTCCTCCTCCTCTTCCTCCTTCTCCTCCTCCTCCTCCTCCTCCTCCTCCTCCTCCTCCTCCTCCTCCCCTCCTCCTCCGTGGAGGCACGGGCTGTCCGGATCGGTTCGTTCTCGGCTCCGTTTCCTGGCGCCTGGGCCGTCGGAGCTCGATCTCGAGCCAGCCAGGGTGGATATCCACGGAAGGGCCCAGGGACCAGTTTGGCAGACCTCGATCCGGAACAGCAAATGTGCTGAGAACATTGCCACTTTTTTGTCCTTGCAGTTTTTGGCTTCCTATAGGGGGCCCTCGTCGCCACGGCGGGAGTTGCCTCGGAGTCTCAGGCAGAGCGCGCTTGGGGAGAGGTCCGGGGAGCAGCGATGCTGGCATCTCCATTGCTGCTCTTCTTTTGATATGTCGACTTAAAGACAATGGTCGCAGCCGGTCGAAGCTCGGGCCGGACGAAAGGGGGGGATAGGGAAAGGGGGGTTGCGAAATCTGCTGCATGCAGCTGGTTTCGGCCCCGCCGAGGGGCCCATTCCTCGATACATGGCAGCCTCCCGGCGCCGGGAGGCGCCGGGAAATTCAGCCACGCGAGCTGATTCTCAAACCCCCTCTTTGCTATCCCCCCCTTCGCCCGGCCCGAGAAGCCTGGGGATCTGAAGAGCAGGAGGTCGGGGGGGTAAACCGAGCAGCAATGGCAGGTGGGCCAGGTTGCGGCGCAAGTGCTTCCCCGTCGGGGACCAGTCCCACATGGGGGCAAAGGAAGTCCTCCTCCTCCTCCTCCTCCTCCTCCTCCTCCTCCTCCCCTCCTCCTCCTCCTCCTCCTCCCCCTGCTCCTCCTCCCCCTCCTCCTCCCTTCCTCACTTCCTCCTTCTCCTCCTCCTCCTCCTCCTCCTCCGCCTCCTCCTCCTCCTCCTCCTCGAGGTCTGGCCCGGTGTTAACCAGCACGTCCCGAGTCAGGGCGCCAGAGACGGAGGCACAGCAAACGGGAGCACGGGGAACGCCGATGTCCACGTTTGGCTACGCCCCCGTTTGGGGGGCCCTGGGCGCCATCGACGGGGGCACAGTAAACGGGGGCAGATGAAAAAGCCTAAGCCCCCGTTTAGCAAAACCCCCGTTTAGGAAGCCTCGACGGAGGAGGGGCCCTCACGACCTGCAACACAGAACGTCCGCACAAGCAGCATCATCCATGGGCGCGGCACTCTGGCGTCTTGTCCTCCCCGCGCGACGTGTAGCGCAAGTCGCCGCGCTCCTTCGTCCTTTCTTTTCCAAGGCCGAGGGAAGACGCCTTCCACCTCTGCTGTTGCTGCTGCTGCTGGTCCTCCTCCTCCTTCCCTTACGTAGCCATTTTGGCCCAAAATGGCATGCCATCGCGAGCGCAGCGTGGATACTGCTAGTCCGCGGCCAGTCCCAACAATTTCGCAGCCACACCCAGGGACGAGCTGCCGTCCATTCCTGCTGATTTTTCTGGCTTTGCAGGCCGCCACTCGTATCGTTTTGAGCCTCGTGCCGAGCATCCTTATCGTCTCGTGCCCTGTGCCGAGCATCCATACCCCCGCATCGAGCTGTGTGCCGTGCGTCCATATCGCCCCGTCGCGTGCTGCTCCGAGCCAGTCAACAAGAGCCAGTCAAGTACGCAGTGGTTCCGTGGTGGACCTGGCCAGTGGCGAATCGCTGAACAGCACCCTGATACCTGTTGCCAGCACTTCAACATCATGTCCGCCGCATCCTCCGGCAGGGACGACCTCTCCAACGGTTCCACGTCCCGCAGCCGCCGAGAGGACCGTCACCAACGCCGCGAAGACCCTCGCCGTGACGACTGACGTCATGATGACCGCCAGCATCGACGGGAAAATCTCTGCGTGCGGCCACGCTCAAAACGCGCGGGTCGGCTTCCCCGCGCCCGCGTTGGGCGGAGAGCCAACCGGCGCCGCCAGGCAGGGCCCGACTGGACTTCTCCAATGGCCCCGCCTGGCAGGGACGCCGAACCCGCTCCAGCGCCAAGAAAAGCAACAGGGTGGCAGTGGGTGGGTTACAAAGCAGCCTGCGCTGCGTGGGAACGAGAACCCAGGAGCGGCAGTGGCCCCGAGAGGCGGTGGCGACGAGGAGGGCCCGTGGCGACGAGGGGCCGTTGCGGCGAGGAGCACCAGCAGCGCCCTGAGCGCCAGAACGCACGGACGGGAGCCAGGAAGGCGACGAGGAAGGGCAGTGGCGACGAGGAGCACGAGCCACAACCCGAGCGCCCCAGAGCACGGGCAGGCGCGCCAGCACCCGACGACCCGCACAGGGGCACCACTGCCACCGCCAGCAGAAGGCGCGGTTATCCTCGCGCACTCGCGCCTGGAGGAAGGAGAGGAGCAAGTGGCGTAGCATCCCCACGCCCAAATCCACCAGCCGCACGCGGCCACCGGCTGTAAGCACAGCGATCCGCCGCGCCACGGGGGCACTGCCAGGCAGTGAACCAGCGCGATTCCGCTGAGGCCACCGAGGCCAGGAAGCGAGGAGACCACTCGAGCCCTCCTGGAGATTTTCCTGCCCCCCAAACCGCTGCACGATTTAGGGGCGATGAAAATCTCTGCGTGCGGCCACGCTCAAAACGCGCGGGTCGGCGTCCCCGCGCCCGCGTTGGGCGGAGAGACAACCGGCGCCGCCAGGCAGGGCCCGACTGGACTTCTCCAATGGCCCACTGCATCCAGGAGAACACAGACTGGCGGCCAAGCCGACACGCGTTGTCCACAGGGCAGAGGCACGCCTCGGAACCGCTGTTTTACAGGCGCGCGCCCACTGCATGCGAGCGTGCCTAGTTGCCCTCGTCCCCGCTGGACTGAGACTGCTCCACCAGCCACTGTGCAGCGGCCATCTCTCCCCGCGACTGTGCCGTTGCATAGCCGAAGGCAGCGAGCCCCCTCCATCCACCAGACCAAAACAACGCGGATACACCGCCTGCTCGGAGAGCGTCATCAGCAAACCCACGGCGAAAAGCATGCGTACCCCAGTTCTCCGAGTCCGGGAATCCAAGCGCTAAGGCGCCAGCTTTGAGGTACGCCAGCGCTTCAGGATATGCCACGTGACCAAATGGCACAGACTCTGCAGCCGCAGCTTCCTTCAAGCCACCGAGGCGGCGTTGGGGGGGCGCGCTGGGCCTGTGCGCCAGGTCGTCTTCCACGCGTTGGAGGCGGGCTCTCGCTGGCTCTTCCTCCGCCCCCGCGGGGATCTCGGAGGTTGATCGACCTCCTGCCCTGACACGTCGATTAGCGAATTGGCCATTTTCGGTTTGCGAGAGGGCGTCGCGGCCGTCATCATTGCGGGTCCAGGTCCGTCGGTTTCGGTCCTAGGCCGTTTTCATGAAAGGGTGGTTTATTCAAAGGAAGGTTTGTCCACTGCCTGGAATCTCGCCCGACAGCACCCCGTCTTGTCTTGGAGGGCCGCCGCGAGCAGCTGCAGGGGATCCCCCCCGTGGGCTGCCGACGCTCGCATCCAGCGTGGAGTCGAGCATGTTTTTGGCCATTTTTGAACATGCATGTTTGTTGCTATTCTCGAGCGCGCTATTTTTTTTTGCCAGCCAAAAATGCTCAACAATCCGCCTGTAGGAGGACACGCCCGACCTAAATCCAGCGTTTGGTGGATGCCCAAGCGGCCTCCTCGCCCTGGTCTGCCCCCCCTGCGCGCGGCGACGGGCCCACCCCTGGCGCACGCTGCGATGCTGCGCGACGGCCTCGCCTCGGCTCGTCCAGGGCAGCGCCGCCAGGGACCACCACGGAGGCGGAAGGCGAAGAGGGAGCGAGAGGGAATGTCCCTCCATCGGTTCCCACCTCCTCTTCCTCCTCCTCCTCCTCCTTCTCCTCGTCCTCCTCCTGCTTTTCCTCCTCCTCCTCCTCCTCCTCCTCCTCCTCCTCCTTTCCTCGTCCCCCTCCTCCTCGTACTCCTCGTCCTCCTCCTCCTCCTCTCCTCCTCCTCCTCCTCCTCCTCCTCCTCGTCCTCCTCGTCCTCCTCCTCCTCCTCCCCTCCTCCTCCTCCTCCTCCTCCTCCTCCTCCTCCTCTCCTCCTCGTCCCCCTCCTCCTCGTCCTCCTCGTCCTCCTCGTCCTCCTCTTCCTCCTCCTCGTCCTCCTCCTCCTTCTCCTCCTTCTCCTCGTCCTCTGCTCCGCCCTCCCGTGCCACTTCCCTCTTCGGCGCCACGACTGCCAGCGCTAGTCCAGCACATGCTCGGCCAGCGAGGGGTGTGGGAGTGCGCGAGGATCTCCAGCCCTCGCATGCTCTGGGACTTTGGCCCGAGTGTTGTTTGACCTTCTGCCACGAGCGTAGACTGTGCATGACCGTCGACCCCGGGAATCTCGTGGGACGGTGCCCAGATTCGGCTCGCAAGGGCGAGGAGAATATGGCACGCATGCGCAAGAGGCTGTGCCCGGGGCGAGGAGGACCCGCCGAGGGCGGTGTGCCGCGCCCGAGAGCTGCGAGCTCGAGAAGCTGCAGCGCCGAGCCGCCAGCGGTGAGGACGCCCTGGAGGGCGTGAAGATGCGAAGGTACCCGTCGTCTGCGCTTCCTCTGGCTGGCCTGGGTGGTGTCATGGCCAGGTGGTGCGTGGGCGTAAGCTCTCGTGCCACGCGGGTGCGCGCCACCTTACGGCCGGAGGCCCAGAGGTTGACACCAACACCAGTGTCGGCG